AATAGATGATGCCTGACCCAAGAATCTACCCTTGGTTTATTTCTTTCTTTTCCTTTTAGATACAAAAGCAAGCATGGGAAATATAATTTAGCCTCAGTATAAATTAAAAGAGTAAAACAAAAAACAACAACAAAAAACCTTCTGTGTGGGGCTGGAGCTCAGTGGTTAAGAACACTGGCTGTTCTTGCAGAAGACCTGGGTTCAAATCCCAGTACCCACATGGCAGCTAACAACTGTCCATAACTCCAGTCCCAGGGGATTGACAGCCTCTTCTGACCTCTGAGGGCACTGCACAACATGGGCACACTTATCAACATGTAGGCAATACACACATACACATAAAATTTTTAAAAATTAAATTAAAAAAACCCAAACTTCTATGTTATTTTTTAAAGTTTTTAATAAATTGGTGCTGGAGAGATGGCTCAGCAGTTAAGAATATTGACTGTTCTTGCAGAAGACCTGGGTTCAGTTCCTAGCTCCCACATGGTGGCTAACAACTGTCTGTACCATCCCCATAAAATAAAAATAATAAATAATTTTTTTAAAAATTAGAACTCATACCAACCAAATTCTTAAGAGTTGTATGCAAATGTTTATTGGTATATCTTAACTTTTTTTTTTATCCTGAACTGATGAGTCTTCTGACTGCTACCATGAAACTTTGTGTCCTTTAGAGACTTCCCATGCCTTGAAGCCAAAGGCAGCTGTGCTTGTCATCTAGGGGAACAAGTCAAAGCAGGAGTAGAATTGACATTCAGTAGTATGATTGTGTGGGGCTGGGAGGGGGGAGCCTTGCCAAATGCAGCATCTCAATTACTGGTGGTAAAAGCACCTTTGTGTAAGCTAAAAGCAAAGAACAAAATCAAGACGAACTCCCTTGTTCGGTTACATCTCCACAAGGCAATAATGCACACTCAGTGGTCACACAGATGTTGGCACCTGTTCTCATGGACAACAACAACAAAAAAGAACCCCACATATGTTGGAAATTGTCAACAGCCTACAAAAAGATGGAATCAATATACAGACATGTGGGGGGTACTCTATATGTTTTCAAATGTCTACTAAGATAAAATAAGCAAAGAAAAATCTGTCATTGATTTGCAGAAAATAGATTTTTAAAAAAGGACTACTATGCTGTTATGTTATCTAATTTTTCTATATTATGGCTTTCTATTTACTTTCCTAATTCTGGTATACTACCAATATAATAAAACTGATCAAGTCAGTATCCACAAATAAGAGCGATGATAATTTAGATACTGAAGATCAGTCTTTCCTAGAATTAGAGCTAGACATTCCACAGGACAAAAGCTGGACAAACTATAATTAAAATAGATTTGTTTAAATACTCCAAATATGGAGAAGATAGTTCATACAGTACAAATACAGGGGGAAACATATAGTCAGTAGCTATTTTTTTGTGCTTGTAAATTTTGGTTGTTTAAAATGCTTGTTTCTGGAGGTGGAAAGATTGTAAGAACCAGGGAGGAGGTTCATGATAATATGCAAATAGAGTCCTACAGGGAGGGGCCTGGGACCCTTCTCATAGGAACCTACAGCAATGGTGTCAGCATGCACAAGACCCATGCAAACTCAAGCAGACAAAAACCCAGCACAGAACTGTGGAAATGGACAGCAGGCCCCGATATTAGTTGAAGAATTATTGGCAGCCAATTACTACTGTGTGAGAAGAGCTGATCTTTTAAAGTGAGGGATTCTAGATAGGCAGACTAGACCTTAGTGGATGAACTTGCACTGAGGGACATCTGGGGACACTAACTTGACACAATAGGCCTTAATACAAATGACAGAATGTATGAATTCCAGAGTGGGGGTGGTTATGGGAGGGAGCCAATGGGGAGGGGGTATAAAGATGATTAAGATATTCTATATGAAATACACAAAAATTCAATTAAAAAATTTAAAAAATGCTTGTTTCCTTCATCTGTTACTGTGAATCCATCAGACCAAACAGTAGTCTTGATTATTTTAATTTAAAGTATAATAATCCCATTACATGTCACATGTGAATGTTACATAAGATACAAAGGAGGAAAGAAAAAGAAAGGTCAGATCTGGATAATACTGCCTAATAGCTTGATGTGATCCAGGAGTCTCTTCCTTAATGGCTTTACCAGCTATTTGTCTTTCCTGAAGACTGCTCTTGCTGCCTGCTACTCAGCCTCATCTACATCAGAGCCTAGCAAGTGTTTCTTAGCAACAAGGGATATTAATAATATTTAATAAATAATATGTGGCCACCACATGGACAAACTGTGATGCTGGCCCAACAGGGAGAACTGTGAATGAAAGTTCCCAGAAAAAAAAAATCTGCATCTTCAACAGAACCTCTTGCAAGCCTGACTAACTTATTAGAACTTCAGTGATTGTGGAGAGTCTGGACCACTGCAGGTCCAGAGCCTAATTATGATTTATCTTAGGCCATCTTTAGCCCTCTAAATAGCCATTCCTTGCCCACCTCTGCATCTGACCTAACATCCTGTGACTAAAAACCCAGATTAAAAGCCTTCTGGGATGTATTAACAAAATCCTAGTTTCCAACACCCAAAAGGCCAAGTGTCATCAGATAGATACTATCTGAGACCTATAGCTGAGATTTCTCTGTTTTGATGTAACCACTTACTTAGCATGCCTGTCACTGTATTTGAAAAGTGCCTTAATTTATGACTTTCTTTGTTCTGTCACTAAAAAAATTTCATCAAACTGCATCCACATATTGGAACATGGACTTTGGGATAACCTGAACTTGTGTTCCTGGGCCATTGTCATTCATATTTGACTCCAAAATAAACTATCTCTTACCCCCTTTGAGGGGTATGGGTGTGTGTGTGTGTGTGTGTGTGTGTTACCTTTGCACCATTAAGGCCTTCAAGTGACTGGATAAGACCCACCCACATTAGGAAGGGTAATATGATTTACTCAAGATTCACTTATTTAAATGTTAATGCTATTAAACAACAAAACAACAACATTGTCACAGAAATACACAGATTAAGGTTGGACCAGACATGTGGGCACCAGGGCTCATCCAAGCTGACATACAAAAATTAACTGTTAAAAGAAAAAGTTAACCACCACGAGGTGGGTGTAAATATGGTACCTATGAAATCCCCTAAGCATCACAGAGAAAAGAAGCTGACTCTGAAAGCCTGCTGCCTGGCTCCAGCCTGGCACTTTAATCATCACACTAAGTGGCCATTATCATAAGCATACCAATGTAAATTAAATTTCCCCAGTCATCCTTTTTCTGGCTGAAGGGTAGAAGACAGAGAAAATGGGGGAAGCAGCCTGAGTGGGGTCCTAGGAGTGGGACTTAGGGGGAGGGGCCAGGACCTTGACTTTACAGGGATACCACAAGGATGATGGGTAACTATTACTTCTATGGTAGTTATTATGTGCTAAGGGCTACTTCATATTAATGTAATCTCTACACATGAGATAGATACAATAATCATCTTTGTTTTAAAGAGAATGAAGAAACTACATCAGAGAGGTTAAGAAACTTCTCAAAGGCATACAGGGGGGCTGAAGAAATGGCTCAGTGGTTAAGAGCACTTACTGCTCTTCCAGAGGACCCAGTACCTATATCAGGTGGCTTATAAGCACCTGTAGCTCCAGTTCCAGGGGATCTGATGCCCTCTTTTTTTTTTTTTTTTTTTAAAAAAAAAAAAAAAAAAGGCACACAGAGGCATTCAGAGCTCTGGATTCACCAGTGCACTAGGCATGAGGTCCAGGACAAGTTTCTTGGTTATCACATTACACAATCCCAGTTTTACCACTTCTGCCAGTTCTCCCCTGGGCTCTGCTGGAAGTGTTAATGACACAATCACAAAAGGAAGTTCCTCACCTCCTTTTCATGGAAGCCCAGTTGTCAGTCACCTGGATACACACATACTAAGTAACCCAGAACTAGGTATACAAGCATGTTTGAACAGCTTCAGCCCACAGCACATGGAGTGCACACAATTACCAGCTGGACCACCTGGCTTCTCACACACCAGGACACAACTTTCCTCCTTCCAGTAGGCAGGTAAGCCAGCACTTGTACTACACACAACATATAAAAACTCATATTCACAAGCACCCAGCATACGATTACATCGATCCCAATTCCCATCCATCACACAAGGCACACAAGCCTCTATCTACTTGGTTCACAGACCCTGCACTTGGACCTAGGAGCTTCCACGAATGAGAGCCACTTCCCACACCCCAAGGTCCAGATCCCTCTGATAGCTGCCCATGGCCCCCCACTTCCCCACTGGCAACACACGTGCCAACACTGATCCATGTGCTATCACAGATCCAGAGCTCACAGCCCTAACTAAAGGATTACCCTCCCCCAACTAACACCCCGCCCACACCCGGGAGTGTCATTTGGGAGTCCAGCATCCCCCACTGGAAAGAATCCTTCTTAGTTCCCAGGAACTGCATCCAAGGGCTAGTCCCACCTTGCTCTTCTAGAGTCCTACACCTACCTGCCAGGCCCCCTCCCAGGTGCGCGAACCCCCTCCCACGTACCCTTCGTCGCAGGGAAGTGCAGGCCAGGGGGGGGGCACCACAAACTCAGGTCACACTCACTCCAGGGCAACCCTTCTCAGTGCCACCCCTCACCAGGAAGACCCTATAATCTCCACGAACCCTTCCACCACAGAGCGCAAGACACATCGGGAAGCCATGGCAGCGCCCAGCAGTGGCTACCGCATCCCGGGGTGCAGGACCCGTCTGCAGACTCTGCAGGAGCTTCATGGGATTCCCCGCCCCCCCCCGACTGCCCATGCACCCTTACTCCCATCCCAAAGCCCGAGGGTGACAAAGGAGAATAAAGGTGTGACAGATCTCAGAGGGCAAGGAGGCAACTGGTGCATCCCGCGAGCCCAGGACTACAGTGCCAGGAGGCCAGGACGACCCCTCCAGAGTCCTGCGCACGCAAGCGGGGAGGCGGGAGAGAAAAACGCCGGAGGCTTCCTTACCTGATTTCCTCTTGGAACTGCCATAATCTCTGAAAAAGAAGCAACAACAGAGAGACATGGTTAGCACGGACTGGGGCTCCGGGCTGCGGCTGCAGGGCTAACCGCCTGCGGGATGCAGCAGCTCACAGCGCCTCTGCTCATGTGATGCCCTGTGATGCCCGCAGCCCGGCGAGCTGCGCTTCGCAGCTGCACGCACAGCGCGCCAGCCGGCCCTGGCAGCCCGGCCTCTGGGAGTGATCAGCCCGCCCCGCCCCGCCCCGCCGGCGACTGCGACCGCCTGGGCCAGTCCTAAGGGGCTCACCTTTCCCCAGTCCTTACTAGATCGAGAGGGAGGGCAGGTTCCCCTGTACTTACTAAATAGGGAAACTGAGGTTCCCGGGGAGTGACTGCTCAACTTAGGCCCGGCTCTGGAAGTCTGCTGCCCACCCCTGGAGCACTCCACTTCCCAAATCTTTGCATTGCATCTCCCAGCACTCTGTAAGTCACGACTGAAACCTTCCTTAACGTCTTCCTGCTGGACATGCTAACACTCCTGTAATTACTGTCTGTGTGACCCTTTGGCTAATGGTGCTTTCCACCACCCAAGGCTCCTCCAAGGCACACAGGTTGTTTTCTACCGCTTCATCTTCTGGGATTGGCACAGGTGATGGGCAAAAACCAGCTGTAGGAACAATGTTTAGCATCTGCAGTTTGCCTTAAGGCTAAGGTTGGCCCCCTGCAAGGGTGCCTGTGAGGCCAGGAATGGTAGAAATGGAGACTGAGTTTTTGAACTGAGAACTGGATTCAAATCCTGCCACTGACAATAACTGTTGGTGATCTTAGACATGTAGCTCCTCCCTATAGTCTTCAGTGGATGGACAGCCTAGAGCTTGCACTGTTCTACTCTCCATGCACCCATTGATCTAAACTCAGGCAGAGGCAGACTTCCCAAAGTCTATTGCTCCTCCTGCCCCCTCCATTCCCCAACACCCCTTGTCCCAGTCTCACATGCTCCTAAAATCTGAATTCTATTTGTGCTCAGGGAACAGGCTCCAGACCTATCTGGAGACGAGAGGAACCACCTTCCATGTCCCTGGGGACCAAAGAAAGTGCCACTTTGCATGGTTCTTTGGCCAAGCAAACAAGCTAGCTGAATCTGCCTGCTGGAAGTGGGGGATGTCATGGAGAAGGGACAGCAGACCTGACTCAGATCCTAAAGGTTCAGAGTGGCCTTAGCCACTGGGTTGTTTATTAAATAGGCAAATGATTTGCCTACATAGCCAGGGGTGAGCACCCCTGCCCCCCAATTTCCCAATATTTGGCCAGAGCCTGGGAAGCTGTACTTCTTGTTTGGTTTTGAGACAAGGTCTGGACTTGAACTTGCACCTGCTTTTACCTCGAGTGCTGGGATTACTGGCATGAGTCCCCATGCCAAGGTGGAAGGTGCTACATTTTTAAGTCTGCTCCCCTTTTTGTCCAGTTTGAGAACTCCACTTTACAAGATAAGGTTCATTTACTGCCTAGGGCCATTTAATATGGGGAAGGGCTGTGGCTCATAAACCCACTGGGAGAACTAAAATCTGAAGGGCCGTGATGGTACAGAGGTTGTACTGTGTTGTCTCCTAAAGAAGTTAGAGAAGGGGGTGGAGGGGCAGGCTTGGTGGTACAAGTTTATTCCATCACTCAGAAGAGGGAGAATTTCCCAGACTGTGCCCCAGCCTGCCTGGCAGCACCCCCTTGATGTTCAAATGTGGGAAGAACTCCCAGTAGGGAAAAGATTATTATGTGGTGGCTGTTCCCACTCAAGGAAGGAATTCCTTTTAGCTTTTCCACTGAGTGAAGCTGGCCACAGGAGAAGGGCAGGGCGGGGCTGGCAATGCAGAGCCACCATTTTCCCCAAAGGCCTGATGAGCTCAGGACTCCATGATCCACTGGCCATTCCTGAGGTTGCTAATGGCCAAGCAGGAGTGGCCCCCTTGATGCAGTGGCCATGTTGGTGGGGCTGAGGGCTGAGGGCTGCCTGAGATTGTCTTCAAACTGGTTAGCAACCCCAGTAGGGAGGCAGACAGGTTGAGACCATGGGATGGGAGAGCAAAGGAATGAAGCAAGAGCATAATTCCCATGGCTTGCATGCCTTGGTATCAGGCACTACATTTGTGAGTCTCAGGCTGATGGTTCAATGGAATCATCTAGAAAGTTGGCTAAAGAGTCGGAGGTAGAGCCCCACCCAAAACTACTTGATTGTATTTCCAACAAGATTCCCTGGGGATTCTGGGGCTGGGCCAGTGTTACATAAGCACTGGGCCCCAGCCATTCCCTGAGGAACCTTCATGTTAAGTAGGAACAATGTGTTCAAATTGCCCAAGAAGCTTCCAGACAAATTGTTGGGCTTCAACCAGAGCCTAGGGCCCTCTCGACCCAGGGACTCTGGATTTCTCTCTGCAGGTAGGTCTTACAGGTGAGAAGGGCAAGGTGTCCTTGTCCAAAGACAGGCAGGGAGTAAAGTAAGGTTAGGGTTGGGCTCCAGGATTCCTGGCTTTGCTTTGAGGTTACAGACAAATCCCCAATTCCCACCCACATGGAGGAGTGGGTGCAGGGGTAGGAGGCAGAGCCCTGGGGCCTGACAAGCACATGGAGCAAGAGGGGAGACTGAGTCCTGGTAGTGGAGGCAGTCAGGCCATGACTGAATGGTGGTGTGGCAGGCAGAGGTATCTGGCCTCCAGCCCCCGGGGGAAGGCACTGCCCTAATAGGAAATTTCTTAGAGGTTTCCGGGCTGGCACCTCTCAGCAAAGCCATCTTGTATTTTTAGCTGCTGAATATGCTGAGAAGCAGCTTAGGTATCCAGTGTCTGGGATGCCCCCATCCCTCTCATACCAGGGCTTGGGGTAAAGCAGGGCTCCCCCACCATGGGACCCCAGCAGGGTCCTCTGTTGGGGTCCAATTCCCCAATAAATCAACCTTTCTCCTCACTCTAATTCTTGCCCTGAGCTGGTGCTGACAGCCCCAGCCTGATGGTAGCTCCACATTGGGGAGGTCACAGTCTAGCCTGCTTCCGACTGGCTGCTGAATCACTGTGTCCCAGGGAGCCACAGGAAGGAACAGGGGAGGAGGGACGATAAGTCCAGCATCTCCCTCTAGTGACGCCAGAAGCTAATGTAATTGGAAAGGCCTCCTAGGCTCCATCTGGCTGTTCAGCCTTTTTGGCCTCTGGCCCATGGTTGACTAAGACAAGAGGCATGGTGAACAATCATACCAAGAAACTTAGAACCTGGGACATGTGGGAGCTTACTGGGCAAACTGGGATTGATGGTTCTCTGTGATCCACAGATTTGACTGTCTGGGGAAGGGCAGGGTCCCTCCTACCCTTCTACTGTATCCCTCTTGTGTCTGTCTAGAAAAGGATATCCCCCAGTCTATGTCTGGGCCCTTCATCCTGGAGAGAGGCAGTTGTGTCCAGGTGAGGACAGTCAGTCTCTGGTTCAAAGCCCGGCTGCCTGCTATGCTGGTGACCCTGAGCTGCCTCCTTCAGTCCTGAGCTTCTGCTTCTCTATCAGTAAGATGAGAAGAGTCACAGCCAGTGTCAACTCCCAGGCTTTGGGGAAGATGGTTTGTGCAGTGTACAGTGTGATAGTGTCAACTGTCAATGTGACAGAATCTAGAATTACCTAGGAGGCCAACCTCCGGGCACAGTTATGACAGACTGCCACCCAGATGGCAAAGGCCCATTTGGCCAGGAAGATGGCTCAGCAGGTAAAGGCACTTGCTATCAAGCCTGAGGACCTAAATTTGATCCTCAGGACCCACATAGTAGGAGAGAACCAACTACCAAAAGTTGTCTTCTGACTTCAGAAGTGCTATAGACATACACAGACACGAAAGAGAGAGAGAGAGAGAGAGAGAGAGAGAGAGAGAGAGAGAAAGTTAAAAAATAATTTTTAAAGTGTTTTAAAAACTTGGATGCCGCACAGCCCCTGAACTGAAGCATATGCTCTAGCACTGAGCTTTACCCCAGGCCAAGGCTGTTTTACATACACGGAACTAGACCTACCTGTCAGGTTGTATTTTTAGGATGACACTGACCCATAGGAATGAATAGAAATTCATCTATTGGGGTACTTTATTTTTTAATTTACTTATACATATTTGATAAGTTTCACTGCATATATATAATTTTATTTTATGCGCATGAGTGTTATGCCAGCACGTATGTAAGTGCACCCATGTCATGCAATGCCCGAGGAGGCCAGAAGAGGGTGTCACATCCCCTGGAACTGGAGTTATAGATGGTTGCTAGCTGCTATGTAGGTTCTGGGATTTGAACCTGGGTTCTCTGCAAGAGTGGCCAGGGCTCTTAGCCACTGAGCAATCTCTCTCCAGCCCCCAGGCTGGTTTTGAACGGGTGTGTGTCTCTATGGTTCAGTTTTCCTATCTCCCCTAGGTGAGATGTGTGCTCCTTCCCCAGGCATTCCACTGAAACAACTGATTAATGTTAGGAGTGGCAAGGAGGGAGAGGGTGACATGAGGGACCAGAAAAAAACTCACTTCTTTGTATTGGCTACCTGATTTTGTACTTGACTCCTGTGATGGTTAATACTGATTATCAACTTGATGGGACCCAGAATCACCTAGGAGACAAGCATATGGGCTACTTGTCAGGAATTTTCTAGGTTAGCCTCTGGCAATGCTTTTGAAAGATTATCTTGATTAGGTTAATTGAGGTAGAAAGATCCAACCATTGTGAACAGCATCACTCTGGGCTAGGGTCCCAGACTGAATAAAAAGAGAATGGAGTCAAGCATTCACTACTCTCTGCTTCCTGAGTGTGGATGCACTGTGACTAGCCACTTCAGGCTCCCACCACCCTGACTTGCTCTCCATGATGGGCTATACCTTGAGCTATGAACCAAAAGAAACCTTCCTCAGGTTGTATTTGTCATGGATTTTTGTTTGCTTGTTTTTTGGGTTTTTTGAGACAGGGTCTCCCTGTAGTCCTAGCTGGCCTGGAATCACTATATAGACCAAACTGACCTTGAACTTAACAAAGATCTG